TCTGGCTTGCCCCATGAGTTACGACTGTGCTTGCTTTGGCACGGGGGAAACCGAAACGGCTGCTGTTCGAGGTGATGCCGAGTTCTGGGAGGAAACTCACATTGTTGCAGATTCACTTCTCTGTGTCTCCTGCTTTGTGTGGGGCTTACCATCCTGCCACAACATTGTGGTACGCCTGTGATTAGAAACAGACTGATTTTTAGATTAATGCTTGAAAAATATTACCTTGTCTGATCACACTGTGGCTTTTCAGCCCCGATTCCACAGCTGCTTGAGAGTGTCCTGAGAGCTGCAGGGGGACACCCTGGTCCCTCCATTCCCCTGCTACACCCCCACACACTCTCCCATCTCCACCAGTGCCACAGCTGTCGCTGTGGATGTGAACCCTTCTTCTCAGGTGATGGCAGAAAAAGTCTGTGGAGTCCCAGCCTTTTTCTTCTCTTTGGCTTCTGTCCTAGAACCCAGTAGCTGAATCAGGTGGAAGATGAGCCAGAAATGCTGCTCTTGTCCTCCCTCCCAATTTGCCTGACCTTGTTAGGGCATGATCTTCATATGAACTAAATTCCAAGTAAGCCAGCTCAGCTGTGCCCACATGGCAGCTATTATACCATCACCAAGATGCTTAACCTTGCTTAAAGCTCTGTGTGGCAAGGGCTGCACAGATGCTCAAAGAGGGGATGGTCTGCTAAACATAGGGCTTGGAAGAAGGAAAGCTTACCAAGCAAAAAAAAAACAAAGGGTGTGTCAGACTGCTTACCAACATATGCCAGGTGAGGTGCCTGGCAGGAGTGACTCACTGCGGGTTACCACTGTTTACTTATTCATGTTCCTAACCTTGGAAAAAGAGAATAATTTAATAGGAGCCAGCAGTTGGGGCATTTTGTCATTCAGGGAGAGAGAAGCGTTTAGAAAAGGAAGCTGTCTGTGAAAGGAACATAGCAGTTGACCATGAACCTGTAAACTGGGTTCAAAGGGCTAAATTCTAATCTGAAGGAAAATTTATTCATAAATCATCAGTCAACAAAGATAATTAGAACTGTGCATATATGTCACATGCATGAAAGCTTTCGAATATCTCAGGATGCAAATCACTGTGGCAAGGAAAAGCATTACAGCAGAGATAAGCGTGGTGTAAAAGTACCAGCAAGAAGTCAGAACCTCTGGATATGAAAATATAGAATGTATGGAACATTTTGATGGGAATTTGAGTAATTAGGCAATTAATAATTTCTTGGCATTTTAGAGCCTGATCCTAGTAATTTCACCAGAAATGTCCTATTCCTCACACTATTACAACATTTAAAGCTGTTTTTAAAGATGTAAGAATCTGCCTGAGCAGGTGTCACTGATTTAGGCAGCAATCAATTGCATTGGCAGAGGATGGTTCTCCTGTGACAAATTACTGATAAACTGTTGGTTATTGTACCTTTTGTTTAAATTTCAACTGGTACTTTTCTTTTATCTGTAATAGTTTTCTTGACTGTCACTATCTCTGTTCTTCTTGCTCAGTCCAATTAGGTTTCTGTGGGCCAGGAACAAATTGTAATTCTTGATTACACTTTGTTATTACTTCTAGGTTTGTGGGTTTTACCCCCTGCTAACTTCTCTCCAAGGCAACATGTACAAACAATTCTATTTGTGTGAAGAAAACTCTGCGCTTATTTTGAAACAGCACCATTAATGATCTATTGAGTTGCAATGGAGCTTTTTGTATTGCATAAGCCTTCACACAGTGAGGCGTCGCATGGCATAGCTCTGCTTTCACAGCTGATTTTTCCAGGTGATGCCAGTACAGGTCCATAGATGAAGACAGCAGCAACACTGATTTCTTCTAGTAACTCTATACAGAAGAAAATGCTTTTCCTGCACCGAGGCACTGTCTGGTGGGCTGAAAGCCAGGAATTCCTGAGATTTATTTTTGGCACTGCCTTTGATTCCCTGAGGTCACATCCAGCAGGATAGGTGCAGACAAAGATGGGAAGCTCTCAGCTGGTCAGACAGAGCTAGCCCTGCCCCGGAATCCGGATAGCACCGCTCCGCTCCGTGGTCACAGGCTGCAGGGCTTCTGTGCCAACTGAGTGTGCAGTTAGTGAGCCAAGAACCTGGTGGAGAAACACCCGTCTGTCTGTATCCACCCACGTAGCTCAAAATATGCCTCTCTGGGCTCTTATAGAGCCTGCCTCTGTTTGCACTGAAGTTGGTGAAGGTTTTTGCCAGGGACTTCAGTGAGAGCACCTGGTGTGTAGTCAAAGGTAAATAGAGGTCAAGTGCTCCTCCCACTGCTAATTTGGATAGGACAGAGGTTAAGCTCTACCCCCTGCTTGGCCTGGGACATCAACAAGACAAACTTGCTATTTTTTAACTCATCCTTGTGCTAGTGAGAGCCAACACTATTTTCAAAGTGTTTTGAACATATAAACCTTGGCTAAGTGGTATTATTACCAATTAGACTGTGCCAGTACTGTTAACAAAATTTACATTTCTATTTTTTTTGTTGTTGTTTTCAAGCCATCCATTCCCCTCTCTGTAAGATAACAGTTTTGTAATTAGATAATATGTCTTCCAGTCTACAGTCTCTTTGCTGTGTGCAAAAGTGAGAGGAAAAAAAATCCCGCTTTCAGGTATATTTAACTCTACAGGAATAAAAAGCAAGTTTGGTAGCTTCGGTATATTTTTTTACATATGAAATTACCACCATGAATTAATTACTTCATGTACTAGTGTGACTCAAGGTAGATGCTCTGTGGCTTCTTTTTTCCTGCCTTACCTAAACTTCCCTTTTTTTGCAGAAAGAGGACCTCCAAATATATGAAAAATACTGTCAGAACAAGCCAAGGTCTGAAGCTCTCTGGAGACAGTGTGGAGACAGCATCTTTTTTCAGGTGAAATTCCGTTGCAGACTAACTTGTTTTCTTTCTGTATCTCTTCTTTCTCTAGAAAACTTAGAGAAATATACAGACTTTTCTGCATGCTTCTTACATTGCTGGCAGGTGCTCAGCATGTGTCAAGGTGCAATCTGCAGGAGACTAGGCAGGTAGACCAGCAAGTAGATTTCCTGGGCTGGAGCATGACTCTTTAGTCTATACCCAAACCAAAGTGCTGGCGTCTTTGCAAACCTCAGCAATCTCATGAGCAGTGCATGCCAGATTTCAGCACAAAGTTGAACCTAAACATTAGCTCTTGTTTAGCTATATTTCACTGTGGCATAAGTACCTAGAAACTCTTATGCAGATAGAACAAATTTCTCTCAATTAATTCAGAGACATAATCTTCAGATTACCAAATGATAATGTTCTTCTTATCTTGCCTGTGCTTCAAGGAACAATTGTATTTTTCTTTCCTATTGTCTCTTACAGGAATGTCAACGTAAATTGGATCATAAACTCTCACTAGATGCTTATCTCTTAAAGCCAGTCCAGAGAATCACCAAGTACCAGTTACTGTTAAAGGTAAGTTGTCCAAGACGGTGCAAAGAATTCCAATGCATAGCTTGTTTTACTTACAGAATTACATATCAGTATTATTTTCTGAAGGACTACCTGGAAATAAAGCCTCTCTCACTTCAACAAATACTTTTTAATGCAAAGTTGTAAAATGGTAACAAACAGACAAAGAAAGGATTTCTATTTCAGAATAAGTACTGCTATTACTTAGCAGTAATACTTTTTATATATATTATATATACACACTGCTATATATATAAAGTAAGATATCTTATATAGTAAGTATGTTATTGTCCTATTTTTTTTTCTCTTTAAACAGAAATTGAATTTAACTTTATTGGATCAGTATATGTCCTTAAAGTTTGAAAAGAGGAGCTGATGCTTTAAATCCTGTCTCTGACATCTGTCCCTGTTTAACACAACTCTTTCAGGTCTCTGAACCTGATATTTTCCCATGGTTGTGACACAATCTTTAAGAAGGAGCCACTCCCTTTTGGTGCTTATGTTTTAAAGACCCAGCTAGGAACAAACTCCACATAACTTTTCCACGGGATGAATATGTGCACTTCCCCCTTGATTTGGTTGGAACTGTGAGTGGTCCATGCTTGAAATTCTAGTCGTTACTGGGCAACAGGAAACATGCTCACAAACCAATGACATTTTTTGAAGATGATGGCTTACATTTCTGTCTTCATCTCCTCAATTCTTAAAAATAATATTTACTGACTTTCCTTGTGGGAAGGTCATGAAGGTGAACTACATGCTGTTCTCAAGCCTCAGACTTAATGTAGTGTGGTGTACTGTCATTAAATTTAGTGTGAAATTTGCAATGAAGATTTTAGGCTGCAGTTTTACTTGCTAATAGCTACCTCGGCACTGGTCAAACTGTGCCAGTCTAAGTCATGTGAGGATCTGGCTGGCCATTCACTTGAGCGTTATTCCTGTGATCTGCTTATTGACTTTACACAAAACTGTAGAATCCAAATCTTGAAGAGGGATATTAACAAAGATGCAACTTCACTGATTCCAGTAGATTTACATCAATGTATCCAGAAATAAATTTGGCTCTATTTTTTGAAACTGTTCTGTGACAAGGGAAAAAAAGTCAAGGTCTTCAGAAGACCAAGACCAGACCCTACTTTTAATTTGAAATATGACTGTAAATAAAACCAAGATTAGATCAAGGAGTAAAATTCTCAGGCAAAACAGGTTGCAGCCATTGGGGTTGAAGCTGGTCAGACCAGTTTTCTACTTAGCAACAACGCTTTGGCACAGACCTTTACTTTCTCAGGGGTTGAGATCTATGAAGATGGTGCACTCTTTCTCTGGCAGCAGCTGCATTTAAAAGGGTAGGAAAATGGGAGTCAGTGCAAGATTGGTAGCAAACAAGTGCCTAAGAAGTGCCTTGAGTGATGGCAGACTAGTTTTAAAATCTGAGTCACAATTTTTGTAGCCCACTGGTTTCAATCAGTTTAGCTAATATTATATAGCAACATACCCGCTATATAGAGAGCAGGGATCCATCCTCATCCTAGAAATTGTGCAGCAGGTACTATAGAAATGCATCCTGCCTTTACCTTCTAAGCCCTGGCCCTAAATATTTGGAACTCTAAATAGGATCTCCGTATGAGAAGTGATTACAGAAATTGAGCCCTCAAAAGGTTTGGTTTATTTCTTTGCTTTGGGCACATGCTTCTTAACCTGTCCAGAACTTTGCCTCTTGTTCCTTCTTCAAGGGTTAGAGGATGGAATAACTTCCCTTATTCAAGCAAAATATAATGTTTCATGAATTTTTACTAGAGGTCAGCATTGTTCTTCAGAACTATCTCAAAAAAAGTTTTCAAATTTGCAAACACAGATCTGTAGATTGTAGTACAGAGGTAGAGAATAAGAGACAGGGAAGATTTATAGTAATCTGGCCTATTCCCCCACACCCCCCAAAAAAACCCCAAACAAACAAAAAACCACAGCTGAAAAACCTGTCTTAGAGATTAAAGAAGTCTCATTTAATTTAAGGAAAAGAGATTTGTGAGCTGATTTGACCACAAGTCTACAAGCATCTACACAGAAAGTGACTTCTTCCCATGCAGAATTTCTTTATCTGACAAGAACTTGCTAAGATCTGATGAGTGGAATGTCAAACCTGCCAAATTCAGACTAGAAATTAATTTATATTTTTAACAGTGGTAATAAGTACCTTGTGGAACAAATTTCAAAGGGAAATGTTGAATTCTCTAACACCTGAAATCATTATATAAAGATTGAGCTGCTTTTCTAACAGATGTGGAGTAAAAAAACCCTGGATGTAATTCTGTGGCATGCAAAAAGTTCATTGTAAATATGTCAGAATGGTCATGTCTCATCTTAAATGAACTCATAGCACTTGAAAATGTCCAGAAGGTCAAAATGTACATCCTCAATTAGCTCAGTCCTGGTGAACATCCTGTTTGGTGGGTTTTTCCTTTTCTTTTTTTTTTTCCTATAATTCTGCTACTTTGCCTATGCAGTACAAATTTCAGGGAGGATCGTCTTGTGGTGGCTTCTGGTATAAGAAGATTTCAAGTAGTTTTTTTTTTTAAATCAGGAAATGCTGAAGTGCAGCAAGAATTCAGAGGGTACCGCTGAACTGGAAGAAGCCCTGGCCACAGTGCTTGATATCATCAAATCAGTAAATGACTCCATGCACCAGATAGCCATCACGGGATATGAGGTACTATTTGCTGTTTCTCTTATTCTGGTCTTGAGCCATCCAATGTTCCTCTCAAAATTGATCATGCTGTGCCCATGGCTGGTGTACTTTGCAGGAGCCTGTGCCACATTCTTGAAGGATGCCACTCAGCGGCATGTTGTGGTGACCAAAAAAATGCGTCAATATACCCGTCATGTGGAGGCGGGGGTGTGAATGTGGGAAGGAAGTGGGACAAATGCAGTCCTGAGCAATCACACCCAAAACCCATCCAGAGATGAGAGGTAGCAAGTGTGACAGATATAACTTAAGAAATTTGCTGAAATTCAGTTTGCTGAACATAACTCAAGTGTTTCCAGATCTTTTGCACTTAGGGGGGAAAACTTGGCTTCCATTTAAAGTGAGTAATAGGATCCATCCCAGTGACTGGCAAAGTCATTGTCTGAAATGTGAAATAGCAACCGCAGTACAAATCAAAGGCCACAAATGTATATATCTCTCTGCTGAAGCTCCACTGAAGTCATATGACTTTCAAGAACTAATGTTGCCTACATAAAATGAGCCCTTAAGTGAGAAGTTGAAGGGATTGACTCATAAAGGAGAAACACGCCTGACAAAATGAGGAGTGAGGGTGATGTGGTTTCCCATTTTTAAATAGCTTCAGGGTGAAGATGTCAAGAAAAAAAAAAGGTACTCAGAAGCTGAGTTCAAAGAATTATTAAATAAGAGTAATAAGGTTTAGTCTGGACACCAGAAAAACAGTATTTTGTGCAGAATGTGGCTTCCCAAGAAGCTGCTGGGGTCTATACTGACTGTCTGGGTCCGAAGAGTTATTCTGGTTTTTTATTCTGAAGAGTTTTGCAGGATGGAGTGGCGTCAGGAGTTTTATTTCTATAGTTCTGTCTTTTGTGTAACTGTATCTGCATCTGGTAGCTGAGGAAACCATGCCTTCTGTCAGCATTGTTTTATAAATGAATTTAACTTCTTGCTCAGCTGTATGTCATAGATCCACTGCTGTACACAGTTGGAGATGCTCCTGGGGGTTGTGCATTCCATTTGAAATGAGAATGAGTCCTTGTCCTGCAGTACCTGCACTGAGTTGAATGTGAAGCAGTGGCCACCTTGTTATATCAGTAAACGCATGGATCAGCTGTAGTGCCTGTGGGTCAGAGAAACCCCACAGGTCCTAATCGTAACTTAGGTCTCCCAAACCTGACAAACTTATGTAAAGCATATATGCTTTTCACAGGCTTGTAGTTTACACCTGCATGCACATATAAATACAAACACACACAGTCCTGTATGCACAGATAAAAAATCAAACTCTATATATTAGAGTTGAGAGACATATAAATGACTGAGTTTTTCTGAATGATTTGGAGAGTCTAGTAATACCCTGATACGGAGTGGAAAAGTACCTAATCAAACCCTGTTTTTGTAGCTGGATCTAGGGTAGAGGATGGGGAATGAGGGGAGAAGAGGCTGCAATCTGTAGTTTAAGAAATCAGACATTCCCGCTTGGAGCCAACATCTTCACCTTATAATCAACAGAAAGTACAAATGTTGAAAATAAGTACTTTAACAATGCACTGAGCTTATTTCCTCAACTTATTATACAAAGCACTGCTAGAAGAACTTGCTGCTAGGATAATTAGGTTTGTCATCACTTGTTGAAGCCCATTATTATATAGATGTTGCCGTGTTCTCTATCCACAGATTACTACACTCTTCAGTACTGGACTGTGCTATAAATGTTTGTGCTGGTGACATCTGTGACAAATATTTATATCAGTTGAAGTATTTCCCCATCAGTGGTCCTCAGATAAGGGCTTTAACTTAGAAAGGTTTGGTTCCTGCTTAGTTTCACTCTCCTTCAGGTTCTTTGGTGGCTCCTTGGTGCATTTACTCCCTCTTTGCCCAAGGCTGTGTAGCATTGCATAGTTTGCAGATGGTGAGCTGAGAAACTACTGACAAAGCTTTTAAAGACTATTTTGCAATGGGAGGGAATTACACACCTACATACCTCTAGGCACCAAGCTGTGTCTTCATTCATCTAAGTGTCCTTCAGAGTTTTACCCAGGGATAGAAGCTGTTTGTAGCAAAGCAGAAACTGAATCTAGATCTCTCAGAGCCAAAGCCTTTGCCTGGATATCTGGACTGCACTGGCCTTTCATACTGCCTGAGAGCCAGGAGTCTTGAAACAGAAGATGCTTCCTCTGAGGGCATGAGAGGGGACAGCCTGTGTGTCAGATCCAAGGAGGTCCTGAGACAGACCTTAGACCCTAACTATGAATGGGGAGACAAACTGGGAATTACGGACATGGAAATCAATGGGTTAATGGCTATATGAAAAAAACCCACGCAGGTTTAGCAAGGAGACATGTGCAGGCAGGATTCCAGCTGTAACATGTCCACTCTCCAAGACACAGGATGCCTAGGCACATGCCTCTGCCTGGAAGCTTAAACACTGCTAAGGGGAAGAACTGTGCCTGGAATTACCCTGGGTTGAACATGATGTAGGCTCTCTCTTTTCCTTGCTTGCCAGGGGGACGTCAGTGAGCTTGGCAAGCTGTTGATGCAAGGTTCCTTCAATGTGTGGACTGACCACAAGAAGGGGCACAACAAGGTGAAGGACTTGGCTAGATTCAAACCGATGCAGAGACACCTCTTCCTTTATACAAAGATGCTACTTTTCTGCAAGAAACGGGAGGAAAATACAGATGGCCATGAGAAGACAGCTTCATACAGCTTTAAAAATTCGTTAAAGGTAATAAATATGGTAATGGTGGGGGAGAGAAATAAATCTGGTGTTCTCACAACAAGGGCATGTTTCCATGTGGAGACTTGACAAAGGTACACATGTCTGGAGCTATCTTGCACCCCTGAGTAGATTAAAGCTCCCATTTAGTTTTGATCTGCAGACAGACCCAGCTGTATGTCCTGCAACTCCAGATGTGAACCTTGTTTTTGCAGCTTGATACACAGAGACACCTTGTCTGTTGTTGCCCAGAGTCCCATAAAGAGAAGCAAGACTGAATGGACCTGCATCTCTCACTGTTCTGCCTTTAAACATCCTCCAAATTCAATTCTATTGCCAGTGTTACCATTGACATGCGTTGAACAGATACATTCTGTGGCGATACTAGCTACAGGTGAATCACAGTGCAGCAGAAGTGCCCTTTTGTTTGCAAGAGTGACATTTCCAGATATGAGTCAGGACATTTTCTATTAAGATGAGATTCACAAGTAGGCCAATTTTTCCCTTTATGCACATTGGTGTGACACTTGTGACTTCAGACAACTAACATGGGTCATCAAGTGTAATGCTGCAGTTACAGGAATTGCAATAGAACCTGGGTCAAGGAGTGAACCAATTCACATAAACATTTGAAGTTTCTTTCTGTGGAGATAGCAGGAAAAAACAAAGCTGTTTAAATCTTCAGATCTAATGCTGAGTCAAATCAGAACAAGGAGGATGAACAAATATAGGAAGAAGGTGGGAAGCTGACAAGTATAGTATCAGCTGGACTTGAAAATTGTGGTCAAGAATCTATCATTTAAGAAATCTAGAATTATTTTCTTCAGTTCCTTGTTTGTCTTGCCTATTTAGGCACTTAGCTCCTTGCTCACTTTTTTTTTTTTTTTTTTAATTTTCCTGAAACTATATCAAATTATTTGTGTTGCCTGGATTTGCAGATGAGTTGTTAAATCTCACAAAGCCCTGTTGTATCCCTCTTCCTCTCCCACCTCAAAAGGTCAGTGATGGCAAGTTGAAAATACCTTCTTCCTCACACTGAAAAATTGTATAGGTGGACAAGAGCCAGGATAGCATTGAAAACTGACTCACAGGTCAAGTGAAAAAAGCAAAGAGGAGAAACTCACGATCAGACATTAGCTTGTGTTACTTTTGAGAACTTAATTTTAAAAAAATTTTTCCTGTAACAATCAAAAAGATGAATGATAAATTAGATGTTGAGAAATAACATGTTCTGAATTTTGTTTTTAATGACTCCCTAAGGTGCAGAAGTGAATGCAGCCCGTTAAAAATGCTTCTCAGAGGATAAAGATTTTAAAGACTATTGATATTTTCCAGATACCAGCTTTTTCTTTTCTATTTTGAAACAGATGAGCACTGTGGGCATTACAGAAAACGTAAAAGGAGATAACAAGAAGTTTGAGATCTGGTATAATGGCAGAGAAGAGGTCTATATCATTCAGGTAACAACAGTCCTTTTTTTTTTTTTTTTTTTTTCCTCCCCCCCCAAGGACTATACTTCCTTTCAATTGAATCGTTTTTAAGAAAGTTTTCAGTTTCATGACCTTCTTTATCCTGTACACTCAAGAAATAATAGCCTTTGGAAGATTCATTGTTGTGTTGGCACTGAAGTTACCAATTTATCATTGTGAAAATGGTCATGAGTTTGGGTAAAAGAGGAAAAAAAGCAGTGGAAAATTACTTGGAACATTGGACAGAAAATCAAGGACATTGGCAGCATGCTTTAACTAGATCTGTTTTGCCTTTTCCTCTTGTGTTCTCAGGCATCTTCTGTTGAGCTGAAAAACACCTGGATTTCAGAGATTCGCAAAGTCCTGACAGGACAACTGGAAGCATGTAGAGGTAGGACACACAGAGCAAAAGGTGGTCGTGTTGCCTTCCTTCTGTAGCTGCATGTGACAACACGGAGCTGGGATGAGTTCCAGTGGCGTCCAGTACCACAACTGAAATCAGCAAGAACATATCTTCCACGCCAGGATCAGTTGGGTGGTTGCAGCATTGCTGGGATTTAAACCCTTGACCTGATCAAAGAAAATTTCTGAGAACTTTAGAAACAGTGTGAATAATAATTCCACTCACAGTTGGTCTGAGGAGCATGATTTTCTGCTGTTTTCCCTCTCTAGCTGCAACCCTGAAATCATCAGTTTACATCAGGGTGTGAGGAGATGGGGTCCCAGTCTGCACTCTGTGCCTCCTCACAAGAACTGACACAAAAGATCTCCTTCCACATACACAACCAGACACAGCAACTCTTCCTCTCCGTCCTATTGTTTGTTTTGCTTTGCTGGGTTTCTGAGGGCTTTTTTTTTTTTTTTTTAAATCTAGTCCCCTGCCATATGTTTAAATGTCAGTCAGTTATCTCATCTGTTTATCTTAGTGACCTCCCTGTAAAACATGATTAATGACATTTCCCTGTCTCACAGAGATGTCACTATGGAGGTGATTTGTGACGTGCTCCACACATGAATGACCTATATTTTTTATATAAGATATCGAACCCAAGACAGACAAAATTCAGTTAGGCTACTCCAGACAGTGAGAGAACATTGTGATGAAAGCCATCTGAGATACTATTCTGTTTATTAACAAGAACCTACAGAGTCCTAAAAAACATTTTTTCAGGCTTAGGGGAAAAAAAAAAAAAAAAAAGGAAGAAAGATCAGTGTCCAACATAGACTTTTCCTGGGCCCTGGCATTGCTTCTCACCTTGACCTGTCATTTTCTGCTTCTTTCATACACAGACCTCTCTTTAAAGCAATGCCAGCAAAGCCTCTCCACCCACATCCTTCAGGTTCTTAAGAAGACTTTGTGTTTGGTGGAAACCTGTGCCTGTGCTTTAACTTTAGAGGTCACCTTTATTTTAATTGTATGTTTCACGAAGACAATGGGTTCTTACAACCTCCTTAAGTGGAGGGAAACAACAACGCGCATTAGCCTCAGAAATTTAATCCAACCCATAACCTTATTTACAATCCTTACTACTCAGGTCTTTTGTTACTAGTCTTGTCTTCACCCTTTCTCCTTTGTATTCTGAATTTCACTGTGGTCGATTCAGCGGGAACTGCTGAGGAAAGATCTCAAGATTCTTATCAGTGCAGTTTCAGGACTTGATCTATGGACTCTGATATAGTTTGTAATATTTACTTCTGAAGTATAAAAGCTGGCTTTACTTAGGCTACCACAGAAGAGAAGAGTAACTTATGGAGAAACTGTATATGTTTAATAGGATAGAGTGCTAATTCTCCATGTGTGTTTCTAGGCTAAGAAAATGAAGCTTGTATGTCACCCAGATGAGCATTTGTAAAATCTTTGTAGCGCACAAGACCTATATGCTAGAGTTACTATGCATTTTCCAGAAAAAAAACTATTCAGGAATCAAAACATGTATATTTTGATATTCTTTATTGTTTTGTCTTTAGATCACAGGGTCCCAGAATATTTCAGGTTTCAAGGGACCTCAGGACATCGTAGTCCAACATCCTGCTCAAAGCAGTTAATTATTGGTCAAGGCAGATTACTCAAGGCTTTATCCAGTCTGGTCTTGAGAACATCCAAGGATGACTTTCATCCTACTCTGTGAACAAAGTCAGGCTTTCCTTCATTGTGAATCCAGCAGAGCAGCAGTCAGAGGGCAGAAATTGTGTCTTTTATGCTATTGCAACTATTCCCATTGCCTTTTCCCAGATGATCACATGAATCAAAGCCCTTATTACAATACTGATGGCAGGAAGCAGATGCTTTGTCCTGTGGTTTTAAACAGTTGTTTCTATTTCTAATGACTCATAAAAGAGGAGGCCTTAATTCATACTTAATCCAAGACTGGATATTTCTCCAACTGTGCGTTGTAACGAGAGAAGGAAGAGGGATGCGTTTGTTTGTCTGGGCTGTTTTTAATGACTGTTGTTAGGAGTTGCACAGGGGGTTGGAATGTTGGAAGGAACCAGCTGAGATGAATGAGTGAGTAAAGGGCAAAAGAGGTGGCCAAAGCTATGTGATAAATAGTTGAACATATGGGTCATTAGTGTCCAAACACTTAGTGTATATACACCTCCTGTTGTATGCTGCAGTGAGCGTGGAATGCTAACAAGGCTTTGGCTAACACCTTGATCCCAAAGAGCATAATTGCCTCTTGCAGGCAAAGGAATTACAGATGGAGTTTAAGGGATTCACACAAGGCTGTGATGCAGTTGCCAAAACCAAAAATGGTTTGGGCAGCTTCCAACTACCCCCCAGAGTGTGCCTTTCTCCCAGCATTCCCACCCACAATAGACTTTAATCTTCCAGTGCTGCCCCTGGCCCTTTGTCTGCTCTCCTGTCATTGACAGCAGCTTCATCTTCTAGAGTGAAGTAGCCCCAGGATCTCAGCAATCTGAGAGTTTGAAAACAGCTCCTTCCACTGCTTCCTCACGTCTCAGTGTCCGACTGTCCTGGCCCTGAAAACTGGGTTGTCAGCATCTTTTTTACCATCTTTCTCAGCAGTTACTGAACATAGGTACAAATGAGTTAGTTGCTATCTCGCAGCTATGCAAAAAGAGTGAACAAATGGCATCTGAACAACAGTTTATTATTGCTGTTTGTCCAGAATGCTGAGCAAAAGCATTCTTCAGAGGGATGGGGATATATTCTCCTAGAAGGCTGTGTGTGCTAAAGGACTGATGTACATGTGTTGCTAAATACAGAAAAAGCTGTGAGCCACAGAACTCGTACGCTGGGAAAAATGCCAATATGTCCATTTCCTAGATCCATGTTGTGCAGTGAGCTAGGAAGAGGTACAGAGGAAAGAGAAGGTTTCTTCTGCTCTGAAAAAAATATGGGTAGAATTGCTGTTTGGGTGAGCTGAGTTTTCAGGCTGAACACCACCATATGCCTTTCTCTTCAAGTACAAGGATTCCATTTTGATTGCAGTAGCAGGCAAAATCTCTCCTCTTTTTCTCTCTCTCCCATCTTCTGTGCAAACAAGGAAGCAACTTATACAATTTGGAGCAATTTTTTTTTTTTTTTACTTTTTCTTTAACAGAAGCAAGTCAACTGCACCAAAGAATCACCGAGAGTGTATACCATGCACCAATGGATTCCTCTAATTTGAGCAGGTAACCACAGCTATCACAGCATAGCACAGCACGGCCGTGTTCTGTCTTGCCTTCGTGCTTTTGCAGTACATAAATTCTTAGTTTTCTGTGTTTAGCTTCCTGGGTACAAACTTACTTGATTGTCTTCAAATTCTTTAAAGACATGTAAATGCAGATAAAGGTTTTGCTCATGAGGAAATTAAAAATCACAATACAGAATTAATTTCAAAGATGATAATTTGATTTTGCAGAAGAACCATATCCTCCAGATTAACTCAAGCTTAGACAAAATGTATTGGAATATTTCCAAGCTGTTAAATGGAGCTGTCAGCAAATTTTTGTAATGACCCAATTGCTGGGAAAGTTTAATGCACGTTTGCATGGGATATCACTGTAAAATTTTAGCAGCAGCAACAAACCCAAGAGATCCTGGGTAACACAGCCAGCCTTTGAGAGTTGTACAACTCAATGCAAAAAATTTTAAACAGATGCAGTGTTGTTGATCCTCAACCGTATTTTCTCCAGGCTTGGTTACACTTGCTTTGTTTAAGGTTTAAGCTGAGAAGATTTAAGGGTGAAAATTTTACAGCAAAACCACCTTGGGGATAGGAGAAAATTATTCCAGTGAAATATGAAATGGAATCACACTAATGTTTCCAATCAATCCAGATGTATGTCCCTCTTATAAGGCCCTTAAACTGAGAATTTTCTGAGCAGAAATTATAGACAAAATATGTCAAACAAAAACTAATTCCAGGAAGAAAGGCCATGTGATTAGCTATTTGTCCTAGGGTGGATTAAACCAAAGGAAAAATGAAGTGCTTGTTGTCCTCGCTCTGCCAGAGAAGGAGAGGTTAGATGCCTCTGCTCCAAATTCTGGGTAATTATAGGGTCGGGAAGAATATGATAAGTCTTCATGAAAGAACGAAGCCCTGGGCTTTCAGGAATGGAACAGAATGTCCTATTGGCCCTTATAAACTGAGGCCACCTTGATCCCCTGTAATATGTGTCTCAGAGAGAAGCAAGGACAGGGGAACTGCAGCACGAGGTGGGTTTGCAGAGGCTGGTGTGAAATAGTGGATCCAGAATTCTCAGGCTGTGGAACCTCTTCTGCAGCCTGTTCTGGGGTGCTGAGTGGAAGCAAAGAGAGGGAGGAAGAAGCTAGACTTTGTGACAGCCACGCACATGGGCATAGTCTGTGTTTATGACTGACGTGACTAAGCAGCCCCAGCTGTGAAAGGCGCTATAAATATGCCAGTGATAGACAGGAATAGCTAAAGAGCAACCAGCAAAATCAGTGCGCTGCCAGTGGTTGAAGGCTAATTAATTACTGAGGTTTTATCTAACGAATAGACACCCTCTCCTGGGCTGCCCACGTGTAACAGTAACTCTCCTGCTTATTGGGAATTGTCAAACCTGTACTGTGACATTTGGGAAATCTGTTCGCAGGACACTCCCTTCCCTGCACCATATCCATCCAATCCTAGAATGACAGACTCTGTCCTTTACGTGTTTATATGCCATCGCAGCACTTGGTGGTGCAATTCCATGAGATAAAGCAGGGCTGGGCTGACTCAGGACTGGAGCTGAGGTGTCTGGAAAAGAGACACTTAGAGACAGTGTCCTTAATACAGGCAGTTATCGAGTGTCCGAAAATCCTGTTCAATCTATATAAATTATCTCTCTGTTAATTCTTCCCCAAAGTTTCAGTGTTTAATCCGAAAATGAGATGCCCTGGGGTATCTATTGCTGCTGTATCTCTCCCAAGGGGTGGCTGCTGCATTTCAGTGATAATGAACTGATCCCTTTGTATTGTTTTCTAATCTGTTTAAACATACAAAACTTACATAGACTATTGTTCTAACTGCTTAACTATCTGCTCTCTTGTAAACGACTGATTCAGTCATACATCCATGTAAAAATATCCTGTCCACTTAGATACACACAAACACTTGGAGTTTTACTGCAGATGGTGTTTCAGACAAGGTCCTGTGTTTTCTTGGTGTCTTTCTCACAGCTGTAAATCTTTAACTCTGTCAGCTGCGTGTTTCACAGTTATCTCAGCCTAGCCAGGAAGGAACAGAGAAAAAAGAATAAGGAAATGTGAGCGTGCTTTGGATTTGTTCCCCTATTTATTTTGAGCCCCATTTTGTACCTGACATCAGGCTGCAAAATCACATTTTGATTCAGTACAGGAGGTACCTCTGTTAAGGTTCCACTAGAAACAGGTCAGAGGTTCCAATACAAAGCAATGAGTCCCAGGCTGCCTTGTAGTTATAAAAGGTATTCACAGCTCTTTAGTATTCCAAATGTTTTTAAGTTTTTTTGTGATACCTTGGACCTTCTCTGACAGCAAGACCGTTAAGTATAACGGTTCATATATTAATTGTAAACAGCAATGTATTTGCTCATACGTGTTAATAATGAACATTTTGGGAAAGAGCATTTCAAGTGTGCAGATATAATAAAATGTGTGGAACATTCAGTCTGGCAAGAATAACAGTCAAACACTGACATTAAACCACGAGACATTTGCAAAACAATAAGAACCATGAGAAAATCTTGCAGCTCAAATACCCTACAAACCTGAGGCGGGGGGTCATTCCCATTACCGATAGCAAACTGGTACCTGTGCAAATCTGGCAAGATGGATCCTCTCATCTGTGGTTCAGCTGTAGGCAGGGATATCCCACTTGGTTTCATGTTTTCAAAGAGCAGAAGAGCCAGTGGAATCCATATGTTCCACTTTGCATGGTATGACCTCTACAAGACCATCCAGGAATCAAATATGCTGCAAAGGATGGAAAACTGGGCTCTTCTTCTCTAACTTGGTTTCCTACGCCTTCCTTCCAAATCTGTTGGATTTGCAGAAAGAGCTTGTGCAGACTTAACCAGTTTGTTCCTCTGTTTTTGCCTTCTCAGCTCTCACTAAGGACATCCCTTACTGTGGTGTGGAAAGGAGGCAGGGGCTAGAAGGGCTTTATCCACCATACCTGCCTACACAGATGCAGAATTTATAGCACACACAATTTTAAAACCTGCCTTTTATTCCTTAGGCTTCCATATCTGAGGGTAAGAAAAAATGTTTAGTGCTCAGTTAGGTATTAAGCAGGACTATTTTGGTATTTCTTTTGTCCAAAGGTATGGGCGGAAGTCATCAAGTATATACGAAAACAAATCTGAGACATCAAATGTGGAAGCATCTAACAATAAAAACAGGAATTCCAGTCCCAGCGGCAGACAAAAGAGAGGTAGGAGTTCTGACGCAGAGATTTTTCCTTCCAAAGGGTAATATTTTTATTTTTGCACACTCGTTTCTACTGTTTGAGGACAGTTTAAATGTATGTTGTTTAAACCCAACATCAAAAACCACCCCAACAATGCTACAAAGCTGAGTGACTGTGTGCCGTGAAATTTCTTGAACACGAAAAACTGTTCCCAGTTTAGGATTTTTTAAGTCTGAGTTTTGATGCATTACAGCACTCTTTATACAACTTGTGTTTTTTAGAAATAGAATTGAGGGGGGGATAGTATGTGTATTTTAACCTTCTATATCCTTGCTAAGTTGGTTTCCATATTTAATTTTATCAGTGAACTATGCTAACAAATTTCCTTCCTTTATTTGGAAGAGATTTTTTTTGCCTCCTGTGTGTATAGCCTCCCCTCTAGTGTATAGTAAATAAACACACATGCACTCACTGAAAGTCCTTCTGTTATTTGGGGCCATAAATACGATAGGTGTATTCTGTACAATGTAGGTTAAAATGAACACTAAAAGGAAACTGGATGTCATCTGGCAGTAGCAGGAACAGAAGATCTTTCGACATCAGTTTCTCTTTTAGGTTGTATTTTGAAATGTAAAAGCAATGACTTTTCAAATAATATTAAAAAAAATGTTGTGAGGTCTTAAAAGAAGAGATTGATGTCCACATCAGACTTAAAAGTAACAGCAGGCCCCTTTATAAATAGAGATGGTAAAAAAATGCTGAATATTTTTTTCTTGGAAAAAATAGGCTATACACCAGAAGTTTTTTTTCATTTAAATTAGTTTTAATTCTAGGGAGAAAGTTATGGATACTTCATAAAAAAAATCAAATTTTATTAATTAACCTATTTCAGTAAAAATGTATCTTTTTAAAAATATTATTTTTAAATTTTAAAAAGTTGAAAAGCAGCCTTTCATTTGAAATTCATAAACCCGATTAAAAAAAAAAATCCAGGAAAATTACTGGTGTTTTTTAACTGGTCCAATTTACACAGGAGTGTGGGAACTGGGATCACCCTATATGCTGATTTTCATTCTTCTGCTTTCCCATGCCCAGTTCTCAGGGCTCTGGCTCTGACTCCTGCCGGCTCAGCCGAGAGCCCCCCGTCCCCTGCCGTGAGCTGAGCAGCGGGTCCCTGCTCCTGGGGGGGTCCGGGGCGTCTGTGTGTGTCCTGCGCTGCGACACACTGGGCAGGGAGCCAGCGGAAGGGCTGTCCGGCTCCAGCTGTCCCACCGAAACCTTAATTTGTGTCCCTGGGAGGCGTCTCTAGCTGGGACTCTGCCGGGGCTGAGCACGGCTTGGAGAGGTCCAGGCAGGTCCTGCGTGCGGAGGGATGGATGGTGCTGTGCTGGTCCGCAGCACTCAGCGTGGGCCGGTGCTCTGCCAAAACTGGCTCTTCTGTGCCACCTACTGACTGTAGTAGTCCCAATATCTATGCAGTTCATCTGAACGCAGATTATTTTAAAATGTTTTATTTCTATAGTACAGGGAGAGGACACTATTGGCAACTTAATTCAGTTTCATTATTCTTATGGATAAGTGCCTGTGATTGACTTATCTACGTCAAAACCAGTATTTTGTGTGGACCTGACTGTTAGGTTCACTTACTTGAATGAAGATATCTGGGATACCTGCAGGAACCTCTCGAGACCATGCAGTCTAACCACGCAGCTGGAAGCAGGGTCAATTGGAGCAGGTTGTTCAGGGTCGTGTTCAGTTGGGTTCCGAATATCTCCAAGGGTGGAGACTCCACAACCGCCTTGGGAATGCTGTCCCTGTCTTTAACCACCACAGTAAAAAAACTTTTTAACTATTTTTAAATGGAATGTCCCATATGTCAATTTGTGCCCATTGCCTCTCATCCTGTCACTGGGCTCCACTGACAAGTGTCTGGCTGAATCTTCTTTACTCGCTCCCATCAGGAATTTATATACATTGATAAGATCCCCCCTGAGCCTTTTCTTCTCCAAGCTGGACAACCCCAGCTCTCCCACTCTATCCTCCTGCTACCACAATCTCTTAATCATCTTCATGGCCATTCACTGCATTCACTCTGTCCATGCCTCTCTTGTACTGGGGAGCCCAGAACAGGTCCCAGCACTGCAGCTTTGTCTCCCTTGTGCTGAGTAGAGGGGAAGCATCACCTCCCCAGACCTGCTGGCAAGGCTCTGCCTAATGCAGCCCAGGATGCTGGTGGCCGCCTTTGCCACGAGTATGTATTGTGGGCTCATGTTCAACCTGTTGCCCATCAGGACCTTCTCCTTCTTGTGTTTGGAAATCGTTTCTGGGGTTATTTGTTATACATGCAGAATGAAGGAAAAAGTTTGAAATAAGTGAGGACAACATGTCTTTAGAGAGCATGAGTCTCTAATGACTGGCTGGTGCTGGGAAGCTGTGGGGGTTTGTGAAATCCCAAGGGGTCTGTCAGTGAGGTGGTATAATTTCATAGCTGAAGAACTAGTACCTAAACCTTCCCCCTCTACACATGCACTGTTGTACTTGCTGCATGACTCTGTGATAATCAAATACTATGACTTTTTTTGCTCTACGTAAACAAAAAGTAAATATATTTTATATGCCAGTTTCTGGATTCTTTATAAGCTACAGTATCTTTACAAAGATTGCCTGGCAGTGGGAGCAGCCATGGTAGGGAACGGCTCTTAGGCCAACACAGGCAGTCTGAAAGTCCAATGCTTCCCAGTGCACCTGTGGGCAACCCCACAGCTGAAACTGCTGCTCGGTAGCAGTTCCTCACCAGATGCACCTGCCTGGCCTGAAGCTGGCATCAGGCCACTGGATAGAAGGAGCTGAACCACACCGACATCATACTTCTGTATTATTAAAATCTGTTCATCTTACAACCACCGACGCATGCAGGCACCTTGAGTCCTGGACTGTCTTGGCTGCAAATTGGGAAGTGATGGGATGCGCTTTCCTTTGGAAGCACAGCTTGTCTGTCTGTTGCTTGTCCATCAGTGTGGATTCACTGTCTCTTCATGTTCCCTTTGTACTTCTGGTCTTCATTTGTGCCTCTAATGATTTTCACTTGGCAGTGTATGAAAGCCAGAGGAGGAGAAAGCCAGTGGTGAAATCCTAAGGCACAGAACCAGGCAGACAACACATTGCTTTTCTCCTGATCCTGTGCTGTAAGCGTTGTGTGTGCTCCCTGCTCACACAAAGAAAGGGGCAGATGCAGAATTTGGCTGGAATGCCAGTTCATGGATCTGGGGGCTTGATCTAGGTCCACCTCTTTCCTGCAATGCAAGTAACTGCGAATCTTTCAAACTCAGAGTCTCGGGACCTAGATCCATCTGTGACTTATCTCTATAAAGGCGACTATCAGGCAGCATGGCTGGTTTATTCACGTAGGAGCCTGGCATGTAAGCTTTGCTGGCATGGCACTCCTTACATCCTAGCAAATCGTGAGATCAAATGCATGAGCGTATGCCAGCTTTGGAGGCTGTTAGAAAGACTTCAGCAGGTAAGGCTGGGAGTCTATCAGCCACAGGGCTGATGGTGGCACTCTTCAGTGCTAGTACTGGAGAGCAGAAGTGGGACTGCTCGCAGCGCTGGCTGTCTGTACGTGTCCTGCACTGCAAGGTGGCTTCTCTTACTTTTCCCTAACCACAGTGATGTGTTTTCATAGTGAAAGGCACTAGATCCTTTTTAATGAGCTTGCTGCTGAACTGTATTTTCCTTTGATGAGAGCTACATCCCTTCACCTGTTTTTCTTTGGTTTTGTTTTGTTGTTGTTCTCCATTAAAACTCAGCGAGCCAAACTCAACCCAGGGGCTCTGTTTGGCTGAGCTGGTTTAATCACCCTGACCTCATGTCACCTTTCTAATTGATTAGCTCTTGCTCAGGCTTGAACTTAATCAAAACTTTTATTTTTTTTAAGTTGTCATCCAGTGCTAACCTTTCCTTTCCCATAAGCTGAACAGCTGACCCTTCCTTCCTTATTTCTTTTCCCTCTCCCTCTCTCTCCTAGTTGATGCTTCCACCAGCCTTAACCTTGAGCGCACAGCGCTTGCTAGAAAGCGATTCACATTGCAAGGTCTTTCCAACCGCAGAGCTCCACCCAAAGGTAAAATCACCCCATGCAGCATTTGGTCTCTGGCCATCTGTCTCCTGCACTCCCACGATGTTCTCTCCATCCCATAGTGCCATCCATCACTATTTCCTAAAGTGCTGCCGCATCTCACCAAAACGCTCCTGTCTGATGCACACATATGGCTCCTCTTCTCAAAGACGCTGTTACCAAAACTTGCTCCCATGGCAGTGCTGGCAAGGCAACTTTAGAGCTGACTGGTTGGATCTTTTACTGGTGCACAGTGTAAATAACGTTTATTTAGTTTTTCTCATGGGCCAAAGTTTGAACATGTTTTAAACCACCAACCTAACTTCTTTTAGCAGTTTACAAGCTTGAAGGGAAGAGTATCATCTCTGTGTTGTGCTATATGAGGTTTTCATGCGTTAAATTTTCCATTGGTTGGACCTCTTTGTTTTTCAAGTGTTGCTCAGCCATAGCCTAGCGGTTACACTGGGAAACCAGAGTTTCTACTTAAAGTTGTGGCACTGTAAAATGGTATGTTCTGAGTCTCTGTGCATAAATGTTTAGAAGACAATATCCGTGAGTAGAGAGCATTGCATGTTCCTGTGATGGCTGCACAAGGAAGAGAATTCAGAGGAAAGAAAGAAATATGAACAAAAATGAAATTGAATGACTATTTACAATCACTTTCTGAAAAGATAATGTAATTACTCTTTAGATTGTTATTATATGGCTTTTCTGCTGTTCTGATAAATTATATTTCTTCTGTGAGACAAAAAGTTAGTGTGCAGTGATGGAGAGGGTGAGCATCAAAGGAGGAAGCAGCAAGATGAAAGATTAAAAAGAGAAATACAGAAGCATTAAGTTACAATGTCCTAAAGTACGAGAATACACCAAGAGCCAGCACAGCCGTAAGATTCTGGCTGCCAGGGTTAAGGCTGCACTTGGTAGTAAGAGCCAAGATGGACAAACCAGTTCAATGTTCTGAATAGAAAAAAGGGAGTGGTTTTCAGTCCTGTGACTTGGGGAAATCAATTACAAAACACATATTTCACAAATGGAGGGTAATGCTGTAATTCAGGTGAGTTTGCGTCTGCAGTTTTGGGCCTCTTTTTGCTCTTTTATCTGAATTTTTCTTGTCATGTGAAATGTCTTGCATTTTATTCAGTCATCCCATGTTCCAGACAGCAAAGCACAGTTCAGAAGAGTTCATCCCCCCCTAAGCTGTAGGTACTTTCAGCTCAAAGACTTACTGGGTCTGGTTGCTTGCGATTCCTGTGCAACACCTCCATTCCACAACATCCCATTTCGCTTTGTGGTGCTGTTCAGTCACTAACCTGGTCCTGGCCTGGAGGAAACCAGCTGGCAGCCAGGCTGGATGATTTGCAGTGTGGTCGTTTCTGTGGGCAAAGCTGTGTGAGCACTGTACGGACTGGCTGGTAAGGCAGATTGGAAGCTGTGAGAAGGTAACAGGGGAGTTACTGCAATAAGCTTGTCCTGCTCTTGACCCCTTTGTCTAAGGATTTGTTACTGGCCATGGCAGGAGATGGCATGCTGAGCATACTTTGGTTCAGACTTGCTGTGTCTGTTCATGTCTAGAACACATAAAAGCAAAGGCTTAAACAATGTAATAACAAGACTAACTAGGGAGAAAACATGATTGCATGAGAGATACCAACTGTCAGGGGAGTGTGGATGCTCAAAGCTTTGCTGAACTGTCTGCCCAGGCTGGATGTTATGGGGTAGAAAATGTTGTATATATGCACCTTGGAGTTTTGGCCAAAGAAATGCCGATGTCTGGAGGAGAAACTTTACCATCCTGCACTCTGTCAGTGCAGAAAGCCCCAAGGCAGCCATCCCAGAACTGGCACCAAAGTGTGTGGAAGCCCACAGCCCATAGCAACCTGCATCTCCCCTCCTTGGGTCGGCATTAGCTGGCCTGGTTTGCAGAGCCAAGCTCATGTTCCTTGGAGTTGGCACAGGGTCTCTAAGAGCTGCATGATGTGGTGTAAATGTAGCCCAACACCATAGTTACAAAGGGAAATTTTCTTTGTATTTTAATAAGGGCAGTTACAGCAGCCTAAACGTGGAGTCATTGCATTGTAACTATCACTGAGAGCAGAGTTTCACCTCTCATTTTTCTTCAGCCTTTTAGGAGGTGTGAATAAGGAGGTGCAGGAATGTGTGTGCTGTTAGGAGCAAATCGATAAGGAACTGCATTGGCAGACACAGAATTCAGGGTCTTTTCATGGTAGCCAATTGACAGTTAAAATTGCCCTGAGATTTTAGGGACCAAATATGGTTTCCTTATGTTTTGGCATAATAAAATATTATAGGAATTGCAGTTCAACCAGTCCCGCTAATTTCTGATCCACTGGAAACATACAGTGAAAGAGACACTAGGCAGACATATGGAAAAAACAAAGACAAATGTTCTGTGACTATGCACTAAAATAAGGAAATGAGAAGATGAGGAATGGGAAAGAGAATTTTAAGATCCCTGTCAAGGAAATCTTCACAGTAGTATAGTTCTGCACAGGACATTTAAACCTGAAATTTAAAATCACCTGAAACTTATTTTACATGCCATTTAACCATGGGGGGTGGGAGGGGGGGGATAAGAGAAAGGAGACAATTGGAACAGGAAAGTCCCTCTGAATCACAGGCACCATCTGGGAATGTCTGGGCTGAGATTCAGCAAAGCATATAAACATGTGCTACAAAGAGTTTTGTGTGATATAACCCTTCACCTATGCTAGGAAATTTTTCAGTGAAAATAGAACCAACCACTTAGTTTTTACCTAAATATTTATTTGTTTTTTTAAAAAAAAAATCAAAACATGAAAATCACAAATAGTTGTTGACAAATCTGAAAAGCTTCAACAGAATATTTAAAGCCATTTTTAATACCATTTTCAACTGAGGTTGTGTCCTGGTAGAGTTAAGTGTTCAAATATCTTACTGAAATTGAGATATGAAGCATGTGAATAGCTTTACTCGTGTCTCCATGGAAATACTCACTTGAGTAACACAGCACATGTGGTGGTTTCAGCAGAAGAGACTAAAAAGTGAATCCTGAAATCTTTGTAAGCAAGCAACTTTTTCTCCCAAGTGGTGCTGCTGTAGTTGGTAGGTACAAGAGGTGCACTGATGTGCTTGTAGATGTGCAGGCACAATCTCTTAGGAGCTCCGTAAGACCTCAACGTGTTTTGAAGCATCATGTGCTCTCTGGAGCTAGGGGATAGTTAGACCATTTATACCTCTGATCTGTTTATGAAATATTTCGAGTCAAAAATACTACCTGCATCTCACAGGGAAATCTGAGGAAGTTGTGTCTTCATTCCTGAGCAGACTTTGAGAAAAGGCAGGATCCTAACTGGAGTAAACAAAAAAACCCCACAAAACTCGGTTGCCTTCACTTTCTCCAAGCTGATTTGCACCAGTAAGAATGGAGGCTCAGAGAACGCTTTCAGGCATTCACACAGTTAACTTCTAGAAATGACAAATATGAACTCCAAACCATTCCTGTTTGTTTTTCAGTGTATTTCAGGTCAGTCATCACAGAATAAGTGGTTCAGTGTCTAAAATAATTCAAACCTCATCTATAGACGCACACACCATCCTAACCGTCATGCTCATCTCTGTGTTTTGTAGCTGTACTTAGTGGTTGGTTGCTAAAATATGAATTGGCAGAAGTTTTCCTTCTGAAGTATTTAAATTGGTGCAATTGGAATTGCTTTGAAAATATCTTCATATAAAATCTTTTCTGTGCCATTCACTTTGTTGAGGGTATTTTTCCTGGCTGTTTTTGGGGAGCAACCTACCTTTTATTTACCCTTTTCCAGCCGCTGCTTTGCTTTGGACATCTTTTACCCTCAGTGCTTGTTAACCTCTAATCCTGCCCTGCATTGCATCTGTCTATTCTCCCAGATCCAGAATCTAAGGAAAGAGAAGTTACCCGTCGCTTTTCCCTAGCCTCCTCCATCAGCACCACAGTTAATGCTTCTGCTGTGACCAAAGGTACCGTCATGCTGCTTGCTTAGCTACCCTTCTCCCTTCACTAAATTCACTGACAAATGCTGTTTGCAGAGTGAGTACATCAGGCTCAGTTTTTATAAGTGCAGGAAGTTCTGGTAGGAGAAGAGTCAGGACCTGCGTAACACCCACAGGGAGCCAGGCAAAGACATTTTGAATGTATATCAAGGTGCTGCCAGCATATATAATGACTCTTCTCAGTTTCTTCATAATAGGGTTCAAAGAGTGGTGCTGGTTTCCATGGAAACTGTGTGAATTTTTGGCTGATGTCTCCAGTTTCTCACTGGTTTGGATTAACTGAAATTCAGTAGAAGTTATGTCTGTTTCCTTAAAGCTGTTTAGGACTTTTGCTTTCAAGAAGGAGAGAATCTCCTCATTGTGTAGCAGACATCAGAGGGTAAGAAAGCCTGAAATCAAGCCAAAAATGGAATAGCAAAAATGCCAGTTTTAAGAATATTTAGCATAATCACAATTGTTTTGATTAGAAATGATGATTGCAAGGAAATTTTCAGATACGTGTAAGGGAGCTAGGTGCCCAAAATGCACTGAATTCTATGTAGTTTGTGTGGGAACCTATGGAAGGTGTTGGGGATTTTTTTTTGAGCTGTAGCTATTTTGAGAAAAAGCACTTTTACAAAATTTAGTTTAGGTTACTGCACTAGTGCCTACATTTAAACTCAAAAGCAATCCATGCATTTGAGCAAGCTGGTTGTGCTGAAAATCAGCAGGATTGTAGGCACCTATGCCTACATGTCAGAGTTACTGCTGAAAACAGAACATATGGTCTTACATCAAATTCTGAATATCCTGTCTTTTGGCAGTTCCTGGAATGAAATGGTGGAACTGATTTGCAAGTTTAAGGTTTGCGGGGCCATTCACAAACTAAAATAGAAGGAAAAATGACTGAATTCGTTTGTATAAAAATCTTTGCTATGTACTTGTCAGGAAGAAGGTCGCACCGTACTTGATCATAGAATCATAAAATATCCACATCACAGAAGTGTTTATCTTTACCACCTAGAATTTAGGGGTTGGTCATTTTGCTGTGTGAAACAGAAAGTATCAGGCAGGTAGTGTTTCCAGGTAATGGGGAAGCAGGTTTCTCCGTTAACAGTATTTACAGCCTTGTGACTCTGCAAACTTCACACAGGTCCCCTTGTTCCTGCAGTTAAAGTCAAGAGACATGAAATAAAGAGTGATCCAACTCCCCTGGGGTTTGAAGGTATGAGTATTTCCATCCTGCATGAAAACCTGTTTGGCAATCTCTTGATATTATTCACTGAATTCCCATCTCATCACTGCTGGCAGACACCACTGGAGTCCATTAGGGGTTTGGAGTCAGTTTATCTGTTTAACTATGATGAACACAGCTTGTCACCCCTTGCCTGTCCCCTGCACTCATCTTTACCAGCTTTCACCTAGGAATGGGCCTAAATTAAAACCCCAATTCTCTGCCTGTTTTGGGAAGTGATGCTCTAGATGATTGTGATCTGGATCTGAATTTTCTGCCTGGGTTCTCCCTCACTCCGTAGAGTGCAGCAGCAGGGAGCCAAGGGGCTACTTTTCACCTTCACCTGCAGTCTGGCCGCTTGCATCCCTCTTCCCTTGTTAGTCTCAATACCTAATAAGAGGAGCAGGAGCCATGTGCATGAAGACTACAGAAGAGGCTAGACTGTGCATTAATATCCATTTCAGGTGCAGTGTTTCATTTCAGCTAAGCAGAATTTCCACCTATTTGTTGCAGCAGATTCATCAATTCCTGTTTAATAAACTTAAATAAACTTTAATTAAACTGGGAAGTTATTCCCCAGCCACTGGAAGATCACCAGCTCCCATTGTCAGCTTTCCCTTTTACATGAGCATTTGCCAGAGCATGTTGCCTTGTGGGGCACAAGCAGTCAGGTACCCCTGCTGCAGGACAGGAGGAAAGAGATGTAGGCTGAGGAATCCTGTCTCAGGATTGTGTTGCCCTGCACAAAACCTTGGTAGAAAGGGCAGGTGGCCAGGCCAGGATGGAATCAGTGACATACCAGAGCTATCTCCTATGTCAGTCCCAGAAAAAGAGGAGATTGGAACAGAGAGGTTGGAAGAAACAGTTCAGAGGCAGCAGAGGATCCTTTTGCCAGGGATCCCTGTCACTACGTTTGGAACCATCCTATCACCCAGCACCAGAGTTCCCCAGACTGTGGTGTATACACCTCACTTTCCTCACTGGCAGGTAATTCTGATCTCTGCATACCATGTGGCTGCAGAGGCAGGGTTATTTCAAGGTGCAAGTACTGTCCGTAGGATAGAGCTGAGATGAGCCTCAGTGGTTAAAACATGGTCCTACTGCGCAACATCCCTCACCAGACTGAGCTTCTGTAAGTAGGAAACAACGCACATCATCATCCCTTTACCAGAAGATATTGCTGCTATTGCCAGGGCTCTGTCAGAGTTAAAAACACAAAGGATTTGATGTACTTAGCTAAAAACTAAAAAATGCACAAAACTAAAATGCACAAAATTGCATTGCATTCATCAAGAGAAAAATCATTAATTTCTGGCTGGGAAGAAGAGCCTCCCTGGTCTCCTTTCATTGCTGTGTGGATGGGCATCAAAAACATATGCCATTCACTCCAGAATGATTTGAAATGCTGCACAGAAAGTATGTTAAAGGTGTGTAAGGAAGCTGTAGTGAAATAGAACACTGCACTCTTCATCCAGCAGTCGTTTTCCTTAATTAATGTCATTTTTCAGTTTGATTGATTTGGCTGTTCTCTGTCATCCTTAGACTTGCAGTTTTTCTGTGGAATGCTGCTCTCTTTTCACTCATTTGTGCTGGTCTTGTGTCTCCTTTTATAACCGTTGTAACCAGTTCACCTGTTTGTTAAAGAGACGACCAGTTGCAGAGGTGATACAGGACTTCACTTTGCACTGGTTGTCTGGTCACTATTTCACCTTGAAGGCACAAATTGTACTTCCTGTCACAGATGCTTTTGAGAACACCATATTGGCCCAGACTAAATGTAATACCGGTTCCACCACGAGACCTGTACCTAGATCTGCTTCACAGACAGGTAAACAAAATTAAAACATTTATCATCTCCATTTGAGAGTGTAAGATGAATTTATTACCATATTTACTCTCTTTAACTTAAAGAGATTTTTCCCTTTTTAACTTCCTGTTAAAGCAATGAAAGGATAAGCCTGGATCACTAGCAGGTATAGAAACAATGTCCCAGATTCTGGTTTTCTGTAGGTCAGGCACAGCTGAAAATAATTCTTTTCATTGATGTCACAGAGCTCCTAATTTGATCTTTGTTATTTTATAGCTTGAATTAAGTACGTAAAACTTGGGCTATTTCTTAGTCTCTGAAATTAGCATAGCAATTTGTGTGGAAGAGGAAGGCTGATGCATGTATCTGTAAGGAATCCTTGCTGTTGAGGTTTCTGTCTTGGATGCTTTCTACAAATGACAGTGGCAAAGGATTCCTGAAGCTTAGTCTAAGGGAGAAGGGGGTATCTTTTTCTCTTGGTGTTTGTAGCCCAACCTGTGAATTTGAACTAAGCTGCTGCAGCAGCTTGAAGCTGGTTAGCATCAACGTATTCTTGTACATTTAGACAGTAGCTGGTGTTTTGCTGGTGTGAGTCAGCCGATACAGAATATGGTCCAGGTCTATATGCTGCATGGTGTGTAACTGAAATTGTCTCTTCTGTCTCACAACTCTGTTGGTACAGACCTCCCAACCCAACCCATGAATGCCACTGCAGAGGCTACTTTACACCTGGAAAAGTGCCAATGACCTCACCATACCTGTAGGGTTGTAACTGGGGGTGCTGCTCTGGTGGCCGGGGCAGTCCCAGCCCCGGTGTAACGGGAGAGAGGAGAAGGGGCTGCAGAGCTGCATGACCACACGTAGCACCAACCAGTGCCTGTAGCAGAGGGGATGTGCATGGGGAGGGATGAAATAAATCCATTAATAAACTTATTTCTCACAGATCAGATCGCTTTTCTGTTTACTGTCTTATAAGGCTCAGCCTGAATTTCCTTCAGGACACATCCTCTAGGCATGTCGTTGTAGGTAAAGGGAGTGGATCTGCTATGGCTGGAAATCTCTCATGAAGTTCCTTCTACTGTTTTTGGGTGCAAATCATGCAATAAGACTCCAAACATCAGACATATTAATGACATCTTCTCTACCTACCACCAAGGTCTGATTGTCTTTGTGCCTTGGTGATTACTCTGTCCCTTCCCTGCACTTCCAGCCTGCTACAGGGTATAGTCTTGTAAATTGCTTAGGTGGTAGTATCGCTTTGGGATGTGATGGAGATAAGAAGTCAACCAAAATTCAGTGGCTTTGGAGTTCAATTTATAGGTAAATGTGTGGAAGTAAGCTGGAAACTGAATGAGCATGGACTTCGGAAAATCATATTAGCAAAAGTTAACATATGCTACAGTGCTCACTCCGCAGAGTGGTCCTCGCATTTTGCACCTCCTGATCTGAAGAGATTTAGTAACGCTAAACACTCAAGCTATTGATGGGCATGCACGCTGTGGCCACACAGTCTGCCTTCCCACAAATGATAGCAAGTGGTGCAGGTTTTTAGAGACAGAACAGCAGTTGCAATGTAATTTTTATGTCAAAATCAGGGAACAAGCTGTAAAAAAGTACAAGCAGTTCGGTAAGTGGAACAGTGGGAAGTGAACCTGTGACGTTTATTTTTAAAAGACTGAGTCTGAAAGAGGCTGATGACTGATAGCTAACTATTTTGTTTCATCTTCTTTGAAAAGGTTGGCCCAGCAGGCAAATGCCATCTCTAGACACCTTTGAAGATTTCGAAGCCATCCCCTCCAGCACAGATGAGCTCTCCAACTCTTCTGACTTGGAGGAAGAGACCAACCCTAACAATGTAATTCCTTTTTCAAATTATGTTGCCCTTTCCCAGAGCAACCTCCTCTTGTCTTAACATCACAATTTAATCTGCAAAGTTTGGGTCCATGCCAGCCTTAACTCATGGATGTGTGGGAATACAGAAGATGGGAATTTGATCTGGGGTGTTGGGAGATCATTCCAAGACTATTTTGTTGATCAGGACCGTAAAAAGTCATCCTTGTAAGCTGTAGCTTTACCTGTCAAAAGAGTGAGGGAAAACTCTGAGCCTTTAAAAAAGCAATTTTAGACTTTTCCAGATAGCTTAATATGCCGTCACAAACCCATTTTCTGTATCAGAATTTTGTCTGGCCGATTAATTCTAAAGTCTGAATGTTCTGTCCTAAGTTTGAATAATATTTAACCTGGGTATGAGAAAAGGAATAAAAAGCAACACAATTCCCTGCAGAAGAAACCTCTGCCAGCTTGAAATGCCTAATTCAGTATTTAACTAAACTCACTCTGTCTTGCACAGTGTTCTTTAACCCATAGTGATTGTATTTCTGGTGCATTGTTTCATTCATTTTAGGGGACCAATCTTTTCCGGGTAGAAGGCAGTTTTGACAGCTGTTTTCCGGATTCTCTTACACTTGAGGATGGAGATCTCGTGCAGTTTGTGCAGGAAGGAGAGAACGGTCAATGGTAAGTGCAGCAGAGAGATAGAACTTGACAGAACAGTCATAAGCTCTCGGAAAAGATGGAAAATATTCAGAAGAATGTCAACGCCTCTTCAAAATCAATCTAAATCCACGCACCCCACTGATCACAATGTGAAAGAGGCAGTAGGAGGCATGAACATACAAGCAGCTTTGGTTCATTCTGCTTGGTTGCCTTTCATCCCAAATGCTTGTGACACGAGGCTTGAGAGGACAGAAGTTTGCATAAAGAAACAGAGGGGAATATTTGGGCTTTTGACACCTTCTAGGAGGATGACTGTCAAAGGCAGCACTCTCCCATCAGATACATCAATAAAGTCCCCACGGTGGCAGGCAGCAGTGAACCAGAGAGCATTTTTAGCACCAAAGGCTTAGATATAAGATGTGATTGACAAAGTGGAATGAATCTGACCCCCTTGAGTTCACATAAGTTTTGGTCTATTTCTTTCTTTCTGACAAGTGTGTGTTAGGAAGGGCCAGACCTGGCTGGGCACCTGAGACTTCCCTGGGTAATTTGGGGGAAGAAGGTCTGATCTCCTCGAAGTGCCCATGCAGTCAGACCCTTCACTCTGAACTGACGTGCAGCTGAGATGGGAGCAAGTCCCATGGGGTCGAGTAGGTGGGAAGTGAACTAAACTCATCCGCTCCGGATGGTATTTACAGCAAGGGGCGTGGATGATACGAAAGATTCAGCTTCTTCAGCTCTGAATTTGGCCCAGGGTCTCAAACACAGGGCAAGGCCACTGCTTCCTTGTCACCCAGTCTGTTTGCAAGGGAGCTTGCTCTGGGATACTGGGTCACCATCTGAGCCTGCTGCAACTTACTGCCTTGGGTCCTCTGCCTTCTTCCCTAGTTTAGGAAACAGCTGCCCAACACATACCTCTAAGAAACACAATTCAGGGAAGGGGAAAAAAAAAAGCTCTCTGAATTTCAGGTTAGTGAAGAAACTGGTCTCTGAGAAAAGTGACTGGGTTCCTTCCAGTATATTGCAGCCAGCAGAGGGGGACAGTAACAACATAATTAAGAACAGCAATGCAGGTAATTGAGGAAATGTGTTCCTGGCATTTTTTTTTTTCTGTCATACTAAAAAAGGATGTGATAAAAAAGGATGTTACAAACAGTGCACTTTCTACTTTAAAGTACTCAACCTCAGTGTTTTTCTGTGCTGCAGTCTCTGGTGACACAGCTGAGCCGGCCCCCAATTCAGTGCCTTAAGTGTCAGAGCTAAGGTACAGCAGCTTGCCTTGGCATGGTTTCATTGTTTTCCCCTTTCCAGGCAGAATTTGAGTCTCCCACTAAACTCCTGTGGCTACCAGTACCCAGGCTGGCTACTTTACAGCTAGCCCAAGTGTGTCATATGGCAGGGCGTGCTGTAACTGCAGGGTGGCTTTCATCCTGACACAGCATTTGGATTTAGATCAGCATCAGGGTTGTGGTTCTGGTCTAGATTCAGAAACATTAAAATCTCATGAACCATTACAGCTTTCATCGTATTTCACTGCTGGCTCCAAAGGCTGGAGGAAGGGCTGCCCTGGCAAGATTTCAGCCAAATCAGCACTAAAAGCTATCCTTCCTTCGGCTTCGGTTCTGACCTAACACCCAAACAGGTCTCACTGGAAAAGCTGAATCTCAGTAACTCTGCAGATCAAAGGTTTACAATTTTAGATTAAATTTTGCCCATCCTTAAATATAATTTACCAAAATGTGTCCTGCTTTTCTTCTGGTAGCAGAAGAAAGCAAAATCTGGCACAGCCATTCCCTGGGGACCTGTGATAGAGAGCTACCAGCATTTTATTCCAAGTTACTGGTTTCTTTTGATTATTTTTTTTTTTTGGTCAGTTTGTTAAAGAGGAGAAACCCCTTTTTGAAAGATAACCAGGATTCTTTGCTGTGGTTTAAAGGGAGTTTAGTAATAGCTGCTCCTTCACCTCCACAGCAGGTCAGTTCTGCCTTCACCCTCAGTGCCTAACTACAGCTCTCATTTCTGTGGCGTGTTTCATGCTTCAAAAGAAAAATAAAGCCACAGATGTTAAAGTTAGTTACGTGCCCAAAGAGCCTCCCTTGCCTCTGGTGAAGGAATTAGGAGAGTCGTAGAATTGTGATGATTTATTTTTTATTTTATTTCAGGCTTTTAACAATGAACCTCAAGACTGTAGATGGAAAATCCTTTAGACGTGTTGTAGTGACAATGCCCATGTCCTCCTTTTCAGACACGTACAACGACTCCTGCAGTACGGCCTCGGTGGAGTCAGACACTAAGGAGAGCGAGGTGGCCAAAAGCTTCCCAGCAGAACAGAGGGCTGGCAGCTGAACAGCAGGACCAGCCTTCCTCAGGACCCCATCCATCTCTTTGTTTATTTTCGGTGGACACTGGATCAAAGTTGCCTTTCTTACAAGCTCTGAGGTTCATAGTTCACTAAAACTTTATCGGCATGAACAGATGAGAACTGTGCTGTCCACCCATCAAGCTGAGAAAAACAAACTTGAAAGGAGCATTAAACATCCATAAAGCATCAAAACCCACCTTCAGTATTAGAGGAGAAAAATGCTTCTCGCACTGATTATCAAACTGTTTCAGAAGATGTGGCCTAAATTAGGTCGACAGCAGACTTGAGGAGTTACTATGCACGCACCTTTTGGCGACTTTGCTAGAACACTGCAGAGGGACGCATGCGTGGTTACGAGTTCTTGCTCTACCATGGAGTGGTCTGGAGGTTTTTCCATTTGCTTGCCTCTGGCTGTGCCTTCCCCATCCTCCTTAATTCCAGCTGATACATCACAAATGTGCCCTTTTTGCTGATGGTCAACACCAAAACCATCCTATTTTAGGGTGGCTATGGAAAGGAAACTTCTGATTTGGACCACAGAGAGGCTCCATGCAGCAATGACCTGACTACTTTTGCAATGGCACAGTGAACGACCTGCTGCATACAGCATTACGTTGGAATGATGCAGATGGCAGCTCCTGGCTATGAGGTGGAAGTGCAGGGCTCAGCAGGGAAGCAAAGATGTGTGACAGATACTGTGACAAAGAACATTTTGAACTCTTTTTACAAAATAAGTCATTCCTCTGCCCCCTCCGCAGTGTGTGGTTGCTGGATCACAATCCTTTGCATTTGGTGCCGAGAATTCAATTGAATGCCATTTAATATCATCTGTTTGAGTAGACTGCATGCTTTCTTTGTGTGCTGGGCTATGGAGTAGATACATTTCATCCCCCATTTGGAATATACTTAAGCATTGCAAATAGGCAGCGAGCATTAGATGCTCCAATGAGTGGATAAAGTGTTATTGTTAAATCCTTCTTTCCAGGACATTTGATTAAAGGACTGTACCAAATCTCTGCCACATAGGGGCGTAATGTATAGTATAAAGTGATTACAGATGTTATTATTCCTATACAAGCCATTAGCTCATTTAGAGCAGCTGTTAGGGCATGAAGGCATTTTGAAGGTAATTGGGTCTTAGGTCCCACAAAAGCTGCTAATACTTTAGTAAAGTTCAGTATTGACTAAGGGTTGCAAACAGGCAAAGATCAGCCTGGTAAAAATGACCCTAGAAGCTCAAGTGTGAGCGATTGGCTTTCATTATTAGTGATTTTTTGTTTAACCCTGAGACTAGTGGTGCTGTATGTAAATAACAAAGGGGACGAAAGCACTAAAAATTGAGATAATGCAAAACCAAACCCTACTCTTTAGTAATTGAGCCTCTGAGTGAAATGGTAGGAGTCTGTATCACTTCTGCTATAATCTCTGCAGGGACCTGAATGTTTTCCTTAGTGTCTCAGTGGGGGCTGGCATTGTAGATATCTTAGTGTGTGAATCAGGATAGCTGTGAAGCAGGTAGATAGTCCCATTCAAGAAAAAAGCCTTGCAGTAGGTAAAGGCTTATTCAGATTTTATTTGCCTGTGAAGGCTTATTGGTCAATGATGAGTTGCACTGTGGTGGCTAATTCCCGTGGTTCTAACCCTCAATATCTAGACTCTCTGACTTCTGACATTTTCCGTTCATGACTAAAGGACCTGAGAGTTCTGTACCTTTTTGGAAGCTAATTTTTTCCTACAAAGATAAGAGCTTGTCTGTTTTGTGATGGTCATTTACCTTAAAAATGGCACGTAGGCTCTTGGGAACATGAATCCTGTTAGTCTGCTGTAGTTATGAGCATCTCGAGGGAAGAACTGATTCCTTTTAGTCCTCAATGAAATATGCAGTGACGTTTTCTTGTAGTGCAATTATTTTATCCTCTCCCTAAAATGAGTTCATTTTGGTTTCCATATTACTTTCTGTAATTTTTGCACAGCCTGATAACAGTTCTTCTGTCTACCCCTGCCCTAAGCATAGGAGAGGAAAGGGGTAGGGAGCTTTGATTGCACATTGATAAATATAGTAAGCGTTTGTGTGTGTGTGTGAGAGAGATGGGGAAGGGTTACCCTGGGTATATGAAACTGGCAAAACTAGGATTTGTGACATTGCTGACAGACAGAAAGATGCTAACCTGCACTTTGGATTTTCTTTGGAGGAATCTCATTCTAACAGTGAAATGGCAGTGGGAAGTCTCTGTCTGAACTGAAGATGGAAAATCAGGTATTGGCAGTGCACTTCCTACCTCTGCTGTGAGCAGGGTAACAGCGTGCTAGTTCAACATCCCCTCGTGCCTCCATATCTTCCTGTAAAATGGGAGCTATTGGGTTTCCCACGTGTCAAATTCTGATGCTAAATTTTAGCAGGTATGCAAAAATCAGAGACACTCCAGGGGAGAGCAAAGCATTCACCCCCCTATGTCCCACTGTGCCCTACATGAGTGTCGGTGGTGGCATCTGTGGGGCAGGCTAGAGCTGGGCAGGGAAGAGGATTGCTGCAGAAGTGTCTCCTCTCCTCCAGCTCACCATCTCATCATGACAACTGCAAAGGTATGGGCTGGATTATAGCAATTCTCCTCCCTGCTTTGCTTTTGAAAAAAATATTTAAAAGTTTTTTTTTTTTTCAAAATCTCATCTTTTATTCTGTAGGACCAAAGTTTGAGTCACTCCTGCACCATGGATGTCCCGAGGATGGCAAGTGACTCACTGCCTCGTGGCTGCGTGCAGCAGTGGCACCACGCTCTGGTCTCAGCTGTCTTCTGGAGCTGGTGGTATCACAGCTAGCCTCAGACACTACTGAACCTGAGCAGGGAGCCCACAGCCGTTAATTGTGTCTTTG